GTGTCCATTCCAAAGAGGTTCGCCTTTGGTCCGTCTCACTACCACTGATCAGTAGCCATGTACTTCAAAATACGCCACATCTGATCGAGTGCCGCCCACCGCAGCCGTTTTGTCTTCATAGCAGCAGGCAATAACTGTTTCTTTACCGGCTTTCTGGTAGTTCTCCTAACTTCAAGGAGCCTTCATCAAAAAGTTGAAGAATCAACATTTACGCCAGCTGAAGCCAAATCTCTCTCTGTAGGTCTTTGCTGTTTTTTTTATAATCCTTCACATTAATTTTTATGATAACCTTCTCACCGTGAGGTGGTGTCTTACGTTTTCTTCCCTTCCACATCTTCCTCTATGCAGCGCTTTACAGTCACCATTGTCATCAGCTCTCTTCAGAATCCGACCAACAGTTGACTTTGCTAGGCTCAAATTTTCAGCGATCTGTTTGATACTTAAATCAGCATGTTTTCTAAGAGCTACAACACTTACACGCTTTCGAGGCGTTACATCCATCATGAATTTCAGCAGTAATCATAAATTGAAGGTGAGAATTTGGTAAAATCACATTCATGGAGCACACTTGTAGGAACAGCCTTACAGAACAACAGCTGTTGTAGCACTGACGAGAGTCGCAGGATAACACCACAGCTGGATGGTTGCCAGCAGTCGGTAGCAAACTCTTCTGAAAAGAACCCAAACTACATTAATTAATTCGGAGACTAAGACATATTATGAGATAATCACAAAATTTACTCCTGTCCCAATTATTTTGCACACTACTGTAGCTACCACTCTACACCACTCACTGGCACTCTGCACCCACCGACCCACATACTGGCACTTTACACCCACCCACTGGCACTTTACACCCACCCACACAATGACATTCTACACCCACCCACTGGCACTCTACACCAATCCACCTACATACTAGTACTCTACAAACACACTGGCGCTCTACACCCACCCATTCACACACACTGACACTACACCTACTCACATACTGGCACTCTATACTCACCCACTGGCTCTACACCCACCCACCACACACACTGACACTACACCTTCCCACATACTGGTACTTTATACTCACCCACTGGCACTCTACACACGGGACACCCACACACAAAACACTGGCACTTTAACCCACCCACAAACTGAAACTCAACACCACCCACACACAAACACTGGCACTTTAACCCACCACAAACTGAAACTCAACACCCACCCACACATACATACTGGCACTTCATCCACTCACCCACGGTACCCCTTTATACACCCCCCCACCCAAACACTAGCACTCTACAGACCCACCCACCCACCCACACATGACACTCTACACCAATCCACACGGACATTCTCCACCCACCAACACTGGCACTCTCCACCCACCCACACACTGGCACTCTACACACCCTCACACACTTGCACTCTACACCTACCCCACACACTGGCAGTCTACACCCACCCATACACTTACACACTGGCACTCTACACCACCCATCTACAATGGCACTCTACAGACACTTACACACACACATACACACGCACTGGCAATCTACACACACACTGGCAATCTACACACACATACACACGCACTGGCAATTACACACACACATACACACGCAATGGCAATCTACACCCGCACAAACACACTGGCACTTTACACCCACCCACTCAATAGCATTACACCCACCCACAACACTGGCACTCTACACCCACCCACTCAATGGCACTACACCCATCCGCACACTGGCACTCTACACCGACCCACGCACACACTGGTACACACACAACACACACACACACACACACACACACACACACACACACACACACACACACACACACACACCCACACACCCACACACACCCACACACACCCACACACATCCACACACATCCACACACACACACACACACACCACACACACACACACACACACACACACACACACACACACACACCCCACACACACACACACACACACGAGACCTGGACAGACTAGACACCTGGTCCAGCAAATGGCTTCTCGAATTTAATCCTGCCAAATGCAAAGTCATGAAGATAGGGGAAGGGCACAGAAGACCACAGACAGAGTATAGGCTAGGTGGCCAAAGACTGCAAACCTCACTCAAGGAGAAAGATTCTTGGGGTGAGTATAACACCGAGCATGTCTCCGGAAGCACACATCAATCAGATAACTGCTGCAGCATATGGGCGGGCCCGGCAAACCTGAGAAAAAGCATTCCCATACCTTAGTAAGGAATCGTTCAAGACACTGTACACCGTGTATGTCAGGCCCATACTGGAGTATGCAGCACCTGTTTGGAACCCGCACTTGATAAAGCACGTCAAGAAACTAGAGAAAGTACAAAGGTTTGCGACAAGGTTAGTTCCAGAGCTAAGGGGAATGTCCTATGAAGAAAGATTAAGGGAAATCGGCCTGACGACACTGGAGGACAGGAGGGTCGGGGAGACATGATAACGACATATAAAATACTGCGTGGAATAGACAAGGTGGACAAAGACAGGATGTTCCAGGGAGGGGACACAGAAACAAGATGCCACAATTGGAAGTTGAAGACACAAATGAGTCAGAGAGATATTAGGAAGTATTTCTTCAGTCATAGAGTTGTAAGGCAGTGGAATAGCCTAGAAAATGACGTAGTGGAGGCAGGAACCATACACAGTTTTAAGACGAGGTTTGATAAAGCTCATGGAGCGGGGAGAGAGAGGGCCCAGTAGCAACCGGTGAAGAGGCGGGGGCCAGGAGCTAAGACTCGACCCTGCAACCACAAATAGGTGAGTACCACACCACACACATCCCACACACACACACACCACACACACACACACACACACACACACACACACACATCCACACACAACACATCCACACACACACACACACACATACACACACACACACACCACACACACACACACTCAACACACACACACACACACACACACACACACCACACACACACACACACACACACACACTCACTCACTCACACACACACACACACACACACACACACACACACACACACAACACACACACACACACACACATTAACACTGTGTTAGCACACTCCTCCCACACACACACGCACGCACGCACACACACGTGTTGGTGTGTGTGTGTGTACTCACCTAATTGTAGTTGCAGGGGTCGAGACTCAGCTCCTGGCCCCGGCTCTTCACTGATCGCTACTAGGTCCTCTCTCTGCTTCCTGAGCTTTGTCATACCTCGTCTTAAAGATACATATGGCTCCTGCCTTCACTACTTCACTTGCTAGGCTATTCCACTTCCTGACGACTCTATACTTCCTAACATCCCTGTGACTCGTCTGAGTCTTCAGATTCCAATTGTGACCCCTTGTTTCTGTGTCCCCTCTCTGGAACATCTTGTCTCTGTCCACCTTATCTATTCCCCGCAGTATCTTGTATGTCGTTATCATGTCTCCCCTGACCCTTCTGTCCTCCAGTGTCGTCAGGCCAATATCCCTCAACCTTTCATCGTAGGACATTCCCCTGAGCTCTGGAACTAACCTTGTTGCAAACCTTTGTACTTTCTCTAACTTCTTGGCGTGCTTGACCAGGTGTGGGTTCCAAACTGGTGCTGTATACTCCAGTATGGGCCTAACGTACACAGTGTACAGTGTCTTGAACGATTCCTTATTAAGGTATCGGAACGCTATTCTCAGGTCTGCCAGGCGCCCATATGCTGCAGCAGTTATCTGGTTGATATGTGCCTCCGGAGACGTGCTCGGTGTTATGGTCACCCCAAGAGCTTTCTCCTTGAGTGAGGTTTGTAGTCTTTGTGCACTTAGCCTATACTCTGCGGTCTTCTTTGCCCTTCCCCAATCTTCATGACTCTGCATTTGGCAGGGTTGAATTCGAGAAGCCAGTTTCTGGACCAGGTGTCCAGTCTGTCCAGGTCCCTTTGTAGTCCTGCCTGATCCTTATCCGATTTAATATTCTCATCAACTTCACATCATCTGCGAACAGGGACACTTCAGAGACTATCATTTCCATCATGTCATTCACATATATCAAAAATAGCACTGGTCCTAGAACTGACCCCTGTGGGACCCCGCTCGTCACAGGCGCCCACTGTGATACCTCTTCACGTGTGTGTGTGCATTTATGTAGAAGTAATGTCAGTTCAAGACTTCCATTTTGCCCCAAAACATGTCTCAAGAGTTGTGTCGGATGGAATAAACAGCTGTAACATCCATAGTGACCATGTTTAAGAGAAATGTGAGTTAGTGCAGGAGTGGGAAAGCGGAGACTAAAGTAAATTTGTGTGACACAACTGACGGGTGACAAGTCCGTGGCAGCGGAATGGCACGGGAGGGGCCAGGGAGTCTGTGTTCTTGGTTGCACATCGGGAAGGAACATAAAGTTAGACTATGTATATACAGGACTCAATCTTTGCTGGATTCAGCGCCTTCTCCAAGCCAGTTTCTTTGCATATCGTAATGCTGTGGCATAATTAAAATATCTAATATACTATGAAGGTCGTAGCCCGCCACCTGATCGAGTATTACAATCAATGTTTACCAGGAAAAATACCTGCTTCTAGGCTTAGCGGTGGTAATCTCATTTTTTTACCGTCTCAATTTTAAATAAAATTTTGCAAGGCTGAGGGAATTTTTACCTCCTCTTCTACAGTCTTCCGTTTATAACCTTGTATTGTATTGATAAAGCCAATGGATGGCGAAACGTCTAAAAAATAAAGATACAAAAATGTTGCACACGTGTCTAATTTATCAACTAATCATTAAACTGGAAATGAAAACCCACACCACCTTTCGGTCTGTCCTGATCTATTATCAAATTTGCACCATCATTAGACATAATAATGGTTCAGGAAGGCCCGAAACGTCTAATTTTTATCAATATTATTTATCTTACTTTGTATTTACCTACAGGTGGTTCCGGCCCCTGGGTGAGCATTATAATTAATATTTACTTCTCTCTTGTTTTCCAACAGTAGGTTCCGGCCCCTGATCGAGCGTTCCCCTGGTCTCTTCTTCCCACCTCACCTGCCAAGTCCACTGGCCTCCCACCTCTTCCCTCACCTCAAGGGTACGTCACACATCTCTTCTGGAGGTCACTTCAAAACGATACAACATTTGCACAATTGACTCACTTGAGTATAAAACTCTTGTTTTTAGGCTCATCTTCAATGGAAGATAGAGTTTTAGTGCAAAGCAAATCTGGGAAATGGGATCAAAAGCCCTTCGTCAGCTTCCTTGCACCCTCTGAAAAGTCCTGAGTTCCAAGATAAATTATGGACAGGCCTTACACGTCGCTTCTAATGATCCTTCTCACACTTTAATTTTATGGATGAAGAGCACTTACAAGTAGGAGCACTCAGGTAACTCAGCCACAACTATAACATTGATTGTATAGTAAGATATACTGGGAGTTCAAGTTTTTGTAATGTATCGAACATTGCGCTTATGTATAATAATATCATACGAAATAATAATAATATTTTTATTTCTACAAGTACATGTACAAGGTATACAGGCCTAGCTGACATCAATGACATAATTCTATAAAGAAAGTCGCTTGTTATGCAGAGCATTTCGGGCAAATTAGGTCAATTTTGTCCCCAGGATGCGACCCGCACCAGCCGACTAACACCCAGGCACCCATTTTACTGATAGGTGAACATGGACAACTGGTGTAAGGAAAGACCCCAATGTTTTTACCCTTTCCGGGAATCGAACCCGGACACTCAGCGTGTGAAGCGAGAGCTTTGCCTACCAGGCTACGAGCCATATTTTATTTATTAAAGTTTGTGATACTTGACTACTGAAATAATCAAGGATGGAGATATCATTGACGTGTCCACTGTAACGTATTATTTTAACGTGGTATATTAACTCCTAGGATGAGTGGCACCACTCAATATTGTCTTTATAGTGGAATGCTTATTTACTGGATGAGTGACACCGTCCAGCCAGTACAGTCTTAATGACTGTATGTTCACTTAAAGGATGAGTGACACCTTGTCCCAAGGTATGAGTGACACTCACACCTTCGCACAAAATCTAAACATTTCAAAACTAATATGTGACTTTGGTCCTCCTCAGGGTTCCCCGGACTGTGCTCCTGCTGTCCCATCAAGCCGCCTTCCTTCAGCCCGCTCTCCTCGCTCGGATCCACTTCACTGGCTAATCCGTTATCGTCGTTGACCAATCAGACACCTTCCCTCGCCTCTCTAGCCAGTCAAACCCCACCGTCGCTAGCTTCGCTAGCCAATCAGACACCACTGGCTTCCTTGAGCAGTGACCCGCGAAGTTCAAGTGTAGCAGAGCTTCGTCGGAAGGCTCAAGAGCACTCAGCAGCGGTGTTGCAGAGCCTTCACGCAGCTTCCCTTCATAATTTGCACCAGTCCCTTCACCAGTCCTCGGCACTCAATATTGAGAATCTCCTCAAAAATGATTCCCCAGTCCCGGCGGACAGGGAAAACTCGCAGTAGTAGTGGTAGCAGTAGCAGTAGTATTAGTAGTAGTAAGGGTGTTACTACTCAGTGACAGATATTGCTACTCTCTTAGCTCCTTGTAATGCGGATTTGATATTAGCCAAATGATTTTCATGCATTTTAAATGGCAAGTAGCCATTACTGACTGCACAGTAAACATACCAAAGATATTATCAATGCTGTTATATATAATAGCGAGGAATGTATTCGAGAAATGTGTGTGTGTGTGTGTTAAATGCATGATAGTCTACTAGTTTAGAAGATTTAAAAAATTTTAAATATACAATAAGCGAATCAAATTTGTGTCTTTGGATGGCACAGTGTGAGGTCACACTAGAACATTTTTCAAAGCTGCACCACAACAAGGATCTTAGAGAGTACGTGTTAGTGTTTCCAGTACTGTGACAAACTACCTTTTTTTATTTTTACCTTTTGCATTTTATGCGACACAAAATGTTTATGATAATATGTGATTAAGAAATGCACGTTCGTAAGTTCTGCTAGTGACAACCAAGTGTGGCCAGTACCAGGAGCGGCACACGTGTATAGTTATACCTGATGCTCACACCAGAAAGTATGCTACAAGTACTAGCTTGTACCACCAGACTCGAATCTCGCAAAAATCATCTGCTAATACTGTGGGTGGGAAAAGCTGACAGAATAGTTTATGAGACAGATGTTTCAAAAAATGATCCCAATTCCCGTCAAATTTATCATTATATAGGGCAGGAAATGAGGATAAGGGTAAACCGAAATAACTCAGTATGCCCAGGATTTCGAAAGAATAATGAAAAAGTGAAGTGAGTCAGTGTGGCCATATAATACTATGGCATACTTTACATAGGCCTCCTGTGTGCGTTACCACACCATCTCATGGCAAACATGGCAATAATATATATTTAATAGAGTAAGCTAGACAATGGAAGAATTTTTAGTAACTGGAAAAGTTGCTAAACACTTTAGATATTGTATAAAATATGGAATATGTTTAACTAATAATGATATCTAAATTTGTTGTTTAGAAAAATTATATATACCTTCATTGTATATTAGATATTTTAATTATGCCACAGCATTACGATATGCAAAGAAACTGGCTTGGAGAAGGCGCTGAATCCAGCAAAGATTGAGTCCTGTATATACATAGTCTAACTTTATGTTCCTTCCCGATGTGCCACCAAGAACACAGACTCCCTGGCCCCTCCCGTGTCATTCCGCTGCCACGGACTTGTTACCCGTCAATTGTGTCACACAAATCTACTTTAGTCTACGCTCTCCCACTCCTGCACTAACTCACATTTCTCTTAAACATGGACACTATGGATGTTACAGCTCTTGAACCCACCCGGCACAATTCGTCACATACACACAAACACACACATACATATATATATATATATATATATATATATATTTTATATTATATATATATTTATAATATATATATATAATATATATATATTATATGTCGTGCCAAATAGGTAAAACTGGCGATTTTGGCTTACATAGCAACGCTCTTCTTGCCGAATAAGACAAGCGAAAATTTGTGTATGCAATAATTTCGCAATTATTCTGATCCTAATGAAAAAATATATTTCACTGCATTTGTTTATTAAATTATTAAGACTTATCTAAAATATACTTAGTTGGATTAGGCTAAAGTAAATTGCGCTTGTTATAATAAGGGTAGGTAAATTTTCTAAGGTTCTTTCGGTACAAAATTATTAATTTTTACATTAACATAAATGAAAAAATATATCTTTAAACGTATTTCAGAAAGGACGTAATTTTAAATGAGTACTTGCTAACTGACCAATTTTACCTATTCGGGACGACATATTTATAATATATGATATATATATATTTTTATAATATATATATTATTTATATTATATTATATTATCCACAGCATCCATAGGAACATGTTGACTCATGTAAGTGAAAATGAATGTATTGTATGAGTGAGGTTGATGTTTTGAAGTCAGAGAGACTTGATTCCACTGGACCTGTTGTCTTCCCTTACATGAAATTGACCTCAATTGATGTACGAGATATTTAAACTTCTCCACATCTCTCAGAAAATTTCAAACAGGAAGACTTTGGTGTAGTCTTAACAACAAAGTACCACACATAAAGGCAGGACTCACACCATACTCTATTGTTCAGTTGTAATACACAAACCACTCATGTGTCAGTATATAAAAACAGCAAACAATTAATGTGTTAGATTGTAAAATCAGTAACACAATCAATGTGAATAGTTGTTATACCAAAGCAACACAACTCATGTGTCATTTGTAACACCATGCAAAACAAATATTGATCATTTGTATACACAGCTATAAATCAAACTTGTGTAGTTGTAAATCAGCAACACAACTCATGTTCATTATGTAACCCTTGCAACACAACTCATGTGTTCATTTTGAATACACCAGCAACACAAATTCATGTGTTAGTTTGTAACACCAGCACACAATCATTGTTAGTTGTATACACAGCAACAAACTCTGTGTTAGCTGTAACACAGCAACATACTTCATGTGTCATTTGTAACACCACAACATAATCATGTTATCAGTTGTAACACCAGCAAAACTAGCTCATGTGTTAGTTGTAACACCAGAACACAATCATGTGTCTGAGTTTTGTAACGACCAATCATGTGTCAGCTATTAACAACAGCAACACAATTATGTGTTAGTTTGTAACTACACAAAAATTATAATGTTATTGTAATACACATACAAATCATAGTGTCATTTGTAAACGCAAGCCGAACAACTCATGTTGTCATGTAACACCGAACAAACTCGTTGTGTTAGTATGTAACATCAGCAACACAACTCATGTGCTTTGTACACCAGCAACAAACTCATGTGTCATTTTAACACCAGAACACAACTATGTGTATAGTTGTCACACCAGCAACAAATGAACTTGTGTTAGTTGTAACACAGTCAACAACAACCATAGTGTTAGCTGTAACACCAGCAACACTATCATGTGTATTTGTAACACCAGCAACACAACTCATGTGTCAGTTGTAACACCAGCAACACAACTCATGTGTCAGTTGTAACACCAGCAACACAGCTCATGTGTTAGTTGTAACACCAGCAACACAACTCATGTGTCAGTTGTAACACCAGCAACACAACTCATGTGTCAGTTGTAACACCAGCAACACAACTCATGTGTCGGTTGTAACACCAGCAACACAACTCATGTGTCAGTTGTAACACCAGCAACACAACTCATGTGTCAGTTGTAACACCAGCAACACAACTCATGTGTCGGTTGTAACACCAGCAACACAACTCATGTGTTAGTTGAATATGATGTATTCTACTACTGTATTCTGTGTACAGGCAGGAAGATATAATGTATTCTTATACTGTATTCTAAGTAAAGACAGGAATATACCGATGTATTATGGTAGTGTATACTTGTATTTGCAGACAGAAACATACAATGTATTCTACCAGTGTATTATTTTTTGAGACAGAAATATGTGTTGTAGTTTACGTCTGTATTCTATATGTAGACAGCAAGAAAATACAACATGTTGTATTTGTTTCCAGTCACAACACACTTCAATGTGTTTCAGACAACGATAAAAACAGTGATGTGTGGCTGGGTCAAGAAGCCAATATAAAGCTACTTTTGGACGACGTTTCGGTCAAGAGTGAGTTTATAAGTTCCTGTCAGAAAGATCGACTAAAATGAAGGTTTGCGAGGCGTTATGTGATATTCCACTCAATACTGTTAATGCAGGTAGTGTTGTGACACACCTGCAACACTCCTGTGTGACACACCTGCAACACTCCTGTGTGACACACAACACTCCTGTGTGACACACCTGCAACACTCCTGTGTGACAACACCAACACTCCTGTGTGACACACCTGCAACACTCCTGTGTGACACACCTGCAACACTCCTGTGTGACACACCTGCAACACTCCTGTGTGACACACAACACTCCTGTGTGACACACCTGCAACACTCCTGTGTGACACACAACACTCCTGTGTGACACACCTGCAACACTCCTGTGTGACACACCTGCAACACTCCTGTGTGAAACACCTGCAACACTCCTGTGTGACACACCTGCAACACTCCTGTGTGACACACCTGCAACACTCCTGTGTGACACACCTGCAACACTCCTGTGTGACACACCTGCAACACTCCTGTGTGACACACCTGCAACACTCCTGTGTGATACACCTACAACACTCCTCTGTGACACACCTACACCACACCTGTGTGACACACAACACTCCTTTGTGACACACTTACAACATTCCTGTGTGACACACTTACAACACTTTTTTGTGACACCTAGAACACTCCTGTGTGACACACTTACAACACTCCTGTGTGACACACAACACTCCTGTGTGACACACTTACAACACTCCTGTGTGACACACTTACAACACTCCTGTATGACACACAACACCCCTGTGTGACACATCTGCAACACTCCTGTGTGACACACCTGCAACACTCCTGTGTGACACACGTACAACACTTCTTTGTGACACACCTGCAACACTCCTGTGTGACACACTTATAAGACTCTTGTATGACACACTTACAACACTGCTGTGTGACACACTTACAACACTCCTGTGTGACACACTTACAACACTCCTGTGTGACACACCTACAACACTCCTGTGTGACACACAAAACTCCTGTGTGACACACCTACGCCACACCTGTGTGACACACTTACAACACTCCTGTGTGCCACACAACACTCCTGCGTGACACACTTAAAAATTCCAGAGTGACACAATTACAACACTCCTGTGTGACACACCTGCAACACTCCTGTGTGACACACTTACAACACTCCTGTGTGACACACCTACAACACACCTGTGTGACACACTTACAACACTCCTGTGTGACACACAACACTCCTCTGTGACACACCTACAACACTCCTGTGTGACACACTTACAATACTCCTGTTTGACACTTGCAACACTCCTGTGACACACCTACACCACACCTGTGTGACACACTTACAACACTCCTGTGTGACACACAACACTCCTGTGTGACACACTTACAACACTCATGTGTGACACACTTACAACACACCTGTGTAACACACAACACTCCTGTGTGACTCACTTACAACACTCCAGTGTGACACACTTACAACACTCCTGTGTGACACACATACAACACTCTTGTGTGACACACAACACTCCTGTGTGACACACCTACAACACACCTGTGTGACACACAACACTCCTGTGTGACACACAACACTCCTGTGTGACACACAACACTCCTGTGTGACACACTTACAACACTCCTGTGTGACACACCTATTACACACCTGTGTGACACACAACACTCCTGTGTGACACACAACACTCCTGTGTGACACACTTACAACACTCCAGTGTGACACACTTACAACACTCCTGTGTGACACACTTACAACACTCCAGTGTGACACACTTACAACACTCCTGTGTGACACACTTACAACACACCTGTGTGACACACTTACAACACTCCAGTGTGACACACTTACAACACTCCTGTGTGACACACCTACAACACTCCTGTGTGACACACAACACTCCTGTGTGACAAACCTACAACACACCTGTGTGACACACAACACTCCTGTGTGACACACTTAAACACTCCAGTGTGACACACTTACAACACACCTGTGTGACACACTTACAACACTCCAGTGTGACACACTTACAACACTCCTGTGTGACACACTACACACTCTGTTGACAACAACACCTGTGTGACACACCTACAACACACCTGTGTGACACACAACACTCCTGTGTGACACACTTACAACACTCCTGTGTGACACACTTAAAAACACTCCTGTGTGACACACAACACACCTG